TGAAATCCCAACACACAGGTTACCATAACAATGATGTCACTGGATGCGAGTGGGCTCTGTGAGTGTGTTAATCCAGGGCCAGGGAGTTTCCACTTTGGTCACTTTGTCTCTATCCCTACACCATAGAGATGACGTTTATAGTACATACATCAGTAGAACTGTCTGCTTCATGTGTGATTTACATGTTTCCCCCAACATGGTTGCATTTAGAACACACAGGGCTCTGATGAGTGCTGTTGTGAGCGAGAAATCGCAAACACTAAAATAATATATATTTTGAATATCGTGAAAATAGACAAAGCATTTTATTTCATGTAACAATACATTAAAACAAAAACAATTGCTCTCATTGATTGGAATCTGTAAATAGAACAGCGGAATTTGGACATTCCTATTTCTCGAATCGTCACTCTTCCATGGCCCATTGTGGTCAGTACGGCCGAACAGTACTTCAGTGTTCTCTGAAGGAGAGAAGTGGGATGGAGCATCATAATACAATATTCTGTCTGTTCCAGTCTGATTTGCAGTCTTTCCACTCTCTCTTTGTGTAAGCTTTCCACTCCCTCATTGTGCATTTACAGTAACAAGGACCAAACTACTCGTTTCATTTCCTCATGAAAAAAGAATGGTTTGAGATGTCACATACTTTTTGGGAACTGTTTTGTATTTCCTTCCTAGGAGTAAATTGTTAGGCTTTTAGATCATCTGCGATGATTCTCTACTTCTGCCTCTTAATCTTTTTAGGGTATTATTCTCAACTCGCTGCATAAAATTATTCTCACACCCTAAGGTGTTCTTACTTGATTATTAATAGTGTGTGAGCAAACATCAAAGACAGATAATGATTATCATATTATACAAAATGTTCTAACTTGACCTAAAAAGGATCAGCTCACCAAAAATGGGAGAATTTCAAGACATGATACCCTTGTATTTTGTGCCTTTGTCCGTGGTGAATTGGATATTTCTAGAAATTACACCATGGATGATATCTGTTGTTGGAACACTTCCAAGAGTATTTCATGTAGTCGAGCGGGTAAAACAGGAATCCATAAGCCCAAAAGCCTGCTACTTTCAACTAAGCTCCATTTCTATATGGGAGGTAGTGACATTGTATGATTAGTTAACTCCTTAGAAGTACACAATCAACAACTCAACAACATAAGTGCAAGTCATTCTTGAAATGAAAATGAATTCATTCATTGTTAAATAAATCATAATCTGTAGGTTCGAAGAACGTATCTGAAGTATACATTTAGCAAAAAAAGTAGCAAAAGTTGACATCAGAAAATAGTGATATTATTAGATGTTACTCAGTAGAAACTCATTTGAATTGGTTAAGAGTTCCTATAAAACCTTTTTAATATTTTGTCATGTGGATTGCTGTTATAGATCCATAATTGAATTCCCATTTCACTAGATCGTACTCCTGCAATGTGATCTGTGCTGTGCGTCATCATTGATAGTGGATCAATCAGTAGATCAATGGTGTGCGCATGCACTCTGCACACAACCCCATGTCAGTTTCTAGTCCACGACAGCAATGGGATAACAGCATTCCACACGTACACACACACACTCAATGAATGAATGAATGGAAAGGGCCCCATTACATAATGTTGGTCGATGACTCATATTTGCATCCACCTTGCCTCAATCACTGTCAGAGGTCATTGTTACAGGGGCGTAGGCATCAGGCACAGCACATACAATAGAAAAGTAAGTCATAGGCATCCTGTGTGTCCCTGAAACACAGATTACCTAATGTGGCTCTTTAAAGGTCCAATCCAGCCATTTTTATCTCAATATCAAATCATTTCTGGGTAACAATTAAGTACCTTACTGTTTTTAATTAAATTAGTCAAAAAGAAACAAAAATAGCTTTTTAGCAAAGAGCCATTTCTCAAGCAAGAATTTAACTCGGACTATCTGGGAGTGGTCTCAGTGGGGAGGGGAAAACTGGAAACTAGCTGTTATTGGCAGAGAGGTCTGGAACTCTCTTTCTTATTGGTCTATTAACTAATTTACTGCCTGGCGATGGCACCAGGCAGGCCAAAATTCCATCCCACCTAAACAGGCTGAAATTGCAGGCAGTCAAACAGCTCTTACAATAGAACGGCATTATCATAATTTCACAATTTCACAGTATTATTCCAACATCATAGTGTGGAAATATATATAAAATCACATTTTTGACTGCACTGGGCCTTTAAGATATATAACCACACTGCAGTGGGTCTTAATGAGAGGAGGCATGAGTCATCGGGCCTGTCTTACATAACTAAGTCACTCCCGCACCCTGCCCACTGCTCCACACCCAGACCCATTCATTCACATTCACACACCACTGGAACCTACTACTACTGAGCCTTTTACCGCCTTTCATTGACTAGGGCCAACACATGGCCAAACGTGCTCCGATACAAATGCTGTGTTACTGTGAATTGCAAAATCTGTGACAAAGCAGAGCTTTTTAGAACGAAATTGCAACGGATATTCCTCCTGCTTTGATTAGTTGTATTCTAAACACACACACACACACACATACACACCGCCTGACTCACTCACAGGTCTTGTATGAATACTCCACAATTAACAGAAAGAGCAGGACCCCAGCTGCGGTTGCTGTGATGCCCAACAGCTTTCTCCCAAATCAGGTCCCTTCATTCAGCCAGCCTTCCAGTCAATATAAGGTCCTGGGCTTAGTCATTTAGACCTGTAGTAAGCACGTGTCTGTCTGTGTGACTTCTGTCTGGCTGAGTCACCATCCAATCACTCTCATTCTTCACATTCTCTAGCTCAGATCTGTTTCAGGTCAGAATCAGTCCCTGGTTAGAAGGAGAGGATGAAAACCAGAAGAGGTTTTAGCCCTCCAGGACCGACACTGACAGCCCTGTAGCCCATTGACTTCAGTCTGACCTAAGCATGCTTTTGTTTTTCTCTTCTGTCTTTAAACTGATTGATTCATAATGTTTCAGGTGATAATTTTATAATCTATTTTGTTGATGTTTAAATTCTCTTAAAATGTTTGTGTATGATATTACTATCATTTTCTTTGAAAATAGGGCCGGCACATTTGATTTCATCATAGCTCACTTGGATCACATGTTTATGTTTGAGGTTTGTATTGCAGGCCTATGGCGGTTACAGTTGTTTTTGTTCAAGTAGAATAACATCATTGTGTATTGATATCGTTATTACACTCGGCGACTGACAATGTGTCCTCCACCAATGATGATAATGGCCTCTCAGTGATTGTATGTCTTTCTACTGACACCTAGTGGTAATAACGATAGCTGCACACTGTTTTTCTTTTGCGGAGGTAAAAGCATGTCTGTCAATTGTGTACAGGTTATATCCACAATCAATACAATTTAAAGGGGCAATTTCTCTAGATGAATTTGAAGTTAATTCATGTCAATGATCTTGATTACAGCAATCTGAAAATCTATTTGTTATAGTTAGTCAATTAGTAGAGGGTTTACATTTTCTGGAAACAATCATTTCAACACTCCATTGAACTGAAATATCCTCTCCAAGTCACTGAGCACACTGGATGTCAGTATAGTACACTAACACATTGGCTCACAGGCCTTAGCACAGAGCCTATTGTTCTCTGTACTGGTCCTCTCTGCCTTGTAAGGCTAAAGGCATTTGATTGTCAACTGGTGTCGGTCAAATATGATCCCCTAACATGGGCACTAACGTGATTAGACATAAATAGCTCGTCTCAATACTTTGTGTAACTAGATACCAGCCCACATACGGGCGGCAGGTAGGTTAGCGCGTTGGGCCATTAACCGACAGGTCCCTAGTTCAAATCCCTGAGCTGACAAGGTGAAAAATCTGTCGATGTGCCCTTGAGCAAGGCACTTAACCCTAATTACTCCAGGGTCACCGTTGATAATGGCAGACCCTGGCTGTGACCCCACTCTCTGAGGGTGTCTCAGGGAGAGTGGGATAAGCAAAAAACATTTCTAATTCACACACTTGTACATGTGTGAAATAGGACAAATATAAGCACCCACCAAATTATTATTATACCCCTGCAGAGAAGATCGTCCGTGTAGCACCACAATGTACAGTACAATCAAGAGGAGAGTAATACAATGTGGAGACATCAGAAGGACTCTGAAGAGTTGGAGTAAATAGTGAAGTTCACAAGTTATAATGAAAGATTCATACCAATTGAACATATGACCTTATTGAGTTTTATCCAATACTTTTTAAAGTAAAGCAGGACTCATTTTCTCATGGTAAAGAACATTTCAGCTCATAAATACTCCATTGGAACAAACACTCCCAAACAGATACGATATCAGGCAAACCAGGCTTTGGAGAACACATTTATTACTTGAGTGTACATTCTAAGCAGACGTATGGTGAGTACATCCACCACAAGCTCTCCAGCAGACTAACTAGCCCTGAGGGAATCTGTTAAACATACAACCGTTGCGTTATGCCACTGTGGCTACATTGCATTTCAATATATGTTTTGACTACTACTATGGTATAATTACAGGGACTTATAGGGACAGATGTACTGTCCTATACCTAATAGGATGCATTTCAAACAGCATTCTGTCCGGCAGCACAACATCAGCAACTTGGAAAAAGAAGAGATTTGTAAACCGTTTGTGGCACTGCAAAAATTCATATGGCATTTGAAATTAAACAATAATACATAGTTCAAGTAGCCAAACTGAAGTGATATGTGAGTTGTTAATGTGAGTATTTCGGTTGGTTACATTTACACAAATGCAGTATATGGGCACCAAAACAAGTTACAAATGGTATTTACAACAATGCAAGAAATTGTAAAAAGTTATAAAAATACATAAGCAATCAGATTATTCAACTAAATCTTGCAAAGTCGTTCAGAAATTCTGCCGATGACAACCAAAAGTCAACCTCCAGTTTTCCATAGATGTCTATGACGTTGAAGTGAAATACAAAAATATCACTAAGGGTCAGGGGACTCTGTCTTCTCTTGATGCTGTTTATTCTACTCCTTTCATGAACTCCAAGAACTCTGGAACCAAGAGGAGGAAAAAGGGAGTCAATTAGGGAATTATTTTCCTCACTCCGGTCACTACACTGCTTTATTACCATGCATAATTCATATTCACAATTGCCTTTTCTAGCAGTGAAGTATCCACAGAACTGTTCAATTGCATCATTTTCATTAATAAAATATCTGAGGAATGAATGCTTCTGTCTCTACACTATGTGCTTAACTGCCATTTTCAAAACTTTACCGTCGTAGTCGATTTTCCCGTCGTTGTTCTTGTCCCCATCCTTCATGAGCTCCTCGATGTCGTCCTCAGTGATGGCCTCCCCTGTGGCCTCCAGCATCACCTTCAGCTCCTCCAAGTCTATGTAGCCGTCCGCATTCCTGGGGGGCCATAGATTATACATTTCTTTATTGTCTGATTTTCACAGATATTTGCTTTACGTGCAAGAAAATGCACTGTGATAGGGTGAGAGACATGGCATAGGGCAGACATAACATCAAACATACAAATTCATGAAAAACAAAACAGAAATGACTGCTTACCCCCCGTATACTCAATATTATACATCCCCTAAATGTCCAAGATCCCTGAGCACTGCACATAATGTTATTGCACAACCCTACAATTTCAATATCCATGATTATTTTACACAGTTAGTTACATTTCACTTTTCACTATTGCACGTTCCCGAATGAGTGAGTACATCCCCATACCCCTAATATCCTCCTTATTTGTTCATACGGGTCAGTGCGAGCTGCACAACTTTGTTTTTGTTCCGGACCAGTTTACACTGGGGAGTCTGTAGCGTTTAGGAGAGGAGGATTATACTGCTTCACAAATCTGTTAACCAGGGTACAGTGGGGGAAAAAAGGATTTGATCCCCTGCTGATTTTGTACGTTTGCCCACTGACAAAAACATGATCAGTCTATAATTTTAATGGTAGGTTTATTTGAACAGTGAGAGACAGAATAACAACAAAAAAATCCAGAAAAACGCATGTCAAAAATGTTATAAATTGATTTGCATTTTAATGAGGGAAATAAGTATTTGACCCCTCTGCAAAACATGACTTAGTACTTGTTGGCAAAACCCTTGTTGGCAATCACAGAGGTCAGACGTTTCTTGTAGTTGGCCACCAGGTTTGCACACATCACAGGAGGGATTTTGTTCCACTCCTCTTTGCAGATCTTCTCCAAGTCATTAAGATTTCGAGGCTGACGTTTGGCAACTCGAACCTTCAGCTCCCTCCACATATTTTCTATGAGATTAAGGTCTGGAGACTGGCTAGGCCACTCCAGGACCTTAATGTGCTTCTTCTTGAGCCACTCCTTTGTTGCCTTGGCCATGTGTTTTGGGTCATTGTCATGCTGGAATACCCATCCACGACTCATTTTCAATGCCCTGGCTGAGGGAAGGAGGTTCTCACCCAAGATTTGACGGTACATGGCCCCGTCCATCGTCCCTTTGATGCGGTGAAGTTGTCCTGTCCCCTTAGCAGAAAAACACCTCCAAAGCATAATGTTTCCACCTCCATGTTTGACGGTGGGGATGGTGTTCTTGGGGTCATAGGCAGCATTCCTCCTCCTCCAAACACGGCGAGTTGAGTTGATGCCAAAGAGCTCGATTTTGGTCTCATCTGACCACAACACTTTCACCCAGTTCTCCTCTGAATCATTCAGATGTTCATTGGCAAACTTCAGACGGGCCTGTATATGTGCTTTCTTGAGCAGAGGGACCTTGCGGGCGCTGCAGGATTTCAGTCCTTCACGACATAGTGTGTTACCAATTGTTTTCTTGGTGACTATGGTCCCAGCTGCCTTGAGATCAATGACAAGATCCTCCCGCGTAGTTCTGGGCTGATTCCTCACTGTTCTCATGATCATTGCAACTCCACGAGGTGAGATCTTGCATGGAGCCCCAGGCCGAGGGAGATTGACAGTTATTTTGGGTTTCTTCCATTTGCGAATAATCGCACCAACTGTTGTCACCTTCTCACCAAGCTGCTTGGCGATGGTCTTGTAGCCCATTCCAGCCTTGTGTAGGTCTACAATCTTGTCCCTGACATCCTTGGAGAGCTCTTTGGTCTTGGCTCCCGAGTGGCGCAGCGGTCTAAGGCACTGCATCTCAGTGCTTGAGGCGTCACTACAGACCCCCTTGTTCGATTCCAGGCTGTAACACAACCGGCCGTGATTGGTAGTCCCATAGAGCGGCGCACAATTGGCCCAGCGTCGTCCGGGTTTGGCCGGTGTAGGCCGTCATTGTAAATAAGAATTTGTTCTTAACTGACTTGCCTAGTTAAATAAAGGTAAAATAAATTTACAAAAATGGTGGAGAGTTTGGAATCTGATTGATTGATTGCTTCTGTGGACAGGTGTCTTTTATACAGGTAACAAGCTGAGATTAGGAGCACTCCCTTTAAGAGTGTGCTCCTAATCTCAGCTCGTTACCTGTATAAAAGACACCTGGGAGCCAGAAATCTTTCTGATTGAGAGGGGGTCAAATACTTATTTCCCTCATTAAAATGTAAATCAATTTATAACATTTTTGACATGGGTTTTTCTGGATTTTGTTGTTGTTATTCTGTCTCTCACTGTTCAAATAAACCTACCATTAAAATTATAGACTGATCATTTCTTTGTCAGTGGGCAAACATACAAAATCAGCAGGGGATCAAATACTTTTTTCCCTCACTGTACATGACTGTTTCTGTATTCAAAAATACTACAATACATAGTTGCCCTGTCAAACAATGACAAGTAGGCTAAAACAGAAACAAACTGGCACCCAAGCTAAAACTCTGCAGTGTACATTCCTTTGTATTTGTCTATTCTGGTGGTACTAGGCTGTGGGTACTTAGTTGGGTAAGATTATGAAGAGTTACTTTTCCAGAGTTCATCCCCCTTATGAGTCTCATGATGTACTTATGAGGATAAACGTACTTGTCAAACATGCGGAAGAGGTCTGCCAGTTCCTCCTCTGTCTTTCCTTTGCTGTCGTCCTTCATGCACCTCACCATCATCACCAGGAACTCATCAAAGTCCACCGTCCCACTGCCTGCAAAGACATGTCAACAGAATGATGTCACACAACCTTTTGGGTCAAGGAGCCTATCTTTGACACGTGACCAGATCCTGTACTCAGCCATGTGATGTTTGTCTTTTGTGTGTTTACAGTCTTACAAAGAACAGTGTACAACTGTCCCTGCCGGGCCATCAATGAGCCATGAATTGGCCTTTTGATGAGCAGAACACTTGTGTCTGCCTTTGTTGCGTACCATCGTCATCCACTGCTGATGAGCTAACCTCATATTCTGATGCGCGATTCCTCATGGAAACTATTCAGAGGAAATACATTTGCCTATTGTAGTCATTTGAGTCTGTCTCTTCTGTGTGAGCGTGTGTGTTTACCGTCTTCATCCACCTCGTCGATCATCTCCTGCAGCTCCTCGGGGGTGGGGTTCTGCCCCAGCATCCTCATCACCTTGCCCAGCTCCTTGGTGCTGATGCAGCCGTCCTCCGCATCCTGGACAAAGATGTCAAAGGCTGCCTTGAACTCTGCAACACACAGCACAGCACATTACCATGGTCAGTTATTTTTCTTCTACCCCCCCTTTTTGTTTTCATGGTCAGTTCTATGTGTGGGCTACTGTAGTTTAAGAGATACTTTTTTAATCCTTTGAGATATCTAGCATTTACTTTTCATTTAGGCCCGAAGGCCTAATGCCTAGATGTGATTAAATATTGTAGAAAGTGAGGATATATATCCCACATAAAGAAGCATTTATACATAGGCCTCAGAGACCGACATAGATTAGTAAACCATAATGAAATGTAGATGCAGTGTTTCCCCTATATGTATTTAGCAGCGGTGCACCCCCGCTGCTAAATCGTGGCCGCCACAAAAAAAATAACTACTCTGCCACCGCTACTGAAATAATTCCTAGGGGAAACACTAAGATGAACACATTTTACATACCGTTTTTCTGCTCCTCTGTCAGCTGCTCTACCTATTGAAGAAATTGAAAGTTTTCAGAAGCAATCGAGCCAATATCTGTTATGGAATCCACTCTGGAATGTATTTTACAACTTTGATTTACTCTATTCCTTTGATAAGCACAATAATATTTTCCATTCGTGCAATAACACGTGTATGATACAGTGCCTTGCAAAAGTATTCCTCCCCCTTGGGGTTTTTCCTATTTTGTTGCATTACAACCTGTAATTTAAATTGATTTTTATTTGGAGTTCATGTAATGGACATACACAAAATAGTAGAAATTGGTGAAGTGAAATGATAAAAAATAACTTCTTTCAAAAAATCTCAAAAAATAAATAACGGAAAAGTGGTGCGTGCATATGTATTCACCCCCTTTGCTATGAAGCCCCTAAATAAGATCTGGTGTAACCAATTACCTTCAGAAGTCACATAATTAGTTAAATAAAGTCCACCTGTGTGCAATCTAAGTGTCACATGATCTGTCACATGATCTCAGTATATACACCTGTTCTGAAAGGCCCCAGAGCCTGCAACACCACTAAGCAAGGGGCACCACCAAGCAAGCGCCTCTCCAAACAGGTCAGGGACAAAGTTGTGGAGAAGTACAGATCAGGGTTGGGTTATAAAAGAATATCCGAAACTTTGAACATCCCACGGAGCACCATTAAATCCATTATACAAAAATGGAAAGCATATGGCACCACAACAAACCTGCCAAGAGAGGGGAGCCCACCAAAACTCATGGACCAGGCAAGGAGGGCATTATTCAGAGGCAACAAAGAGACCAAAGATAACCCTGAAGGAGCTGCAAAGCTCCACAGCAGAGATTGGAGTATCTGTCCATAGGACCATTTTAAGCCGTACACTCCACAGAGCTGGGCTTTACGGAAGAGTGGCCAGAAAAAAAACATTACTTAAAGAAAAAAATAAGCAAACACATTTGGTGTTCGCCAAAAGGCATGTGGGAGACTCCCCAAACATATGGAAGAAGGTACTCTGGTCAGATGAAACTAAAATTGAGCTTTTTGGCCATCAAGGAAAACGCTATGTCTGGCGCAACCCCAACACCTCTCATCACCCCGAGAACACCATCCCCACAGTGAAGCATGGTGGTGGCAGCATCATGCTGTGGGGATGTTTTTCATCGGCAGGGACTGGGAAACTGGTCAGAATTGAAGGAATGATGGATGGCGCTAAATACAGGGAAATTCTTGAGGGAAACCTGTTTCAGTCTTCCAGAGATTTGAGACTGGGACGGAGGTTCACCTTCCAGCAGGACAATTACCCTAAGCATACTGTTAAAGCAACACTCGAGTGGTTTAAGGGGAATCATTGAAATGTCTTGGAATGGTCTAGTCAAAGCCCAGACCTCAATCCAATTGAGAATTTGTGGTATGACTTAAAGATTGCTGTACACCAGCGGAACCCATCCAACTTGAAAATCCCAGTGGCTAGATGTGCCAAGCTTATAGAGACATACCCCAAGAGACTTGCAGCTATAATTGCTGCAAAAGGTGGCTCTACAAAGTATTGACTTTGGGGGGGGGGGGTAGTTATGCATGCTCAAATTTTCTGTTTTTTTGTATTATTTCTTGTTTGTTTCACACCAAAAAATATTTTGCATCTTCAAAGTGGTAGGCATGTTGTGTAAATCAAATGATACAAACCGCAAAAAAAATCAATTTTAATTCCAGGTTGTAAGGCAACAAAATAGGAAATATGCGAAGGGGGGTGAATACTTTTGCAAGCCACTGTTTCTATGCTCTTCCCTTCATTGTAATATTATTTGTGGAGTTTGATAGAGAAATCAAGTTATTTTGGAACTTCACACTTGGTCATCCCATCCCTCACAAAACACAAAACCTGTATTTCATTCATGAGACCTGGGCCAGTGAGAGGCAGGGTTAAAAATACATTGACAGGAGGATCAGAAACAGCAGATAAAGGACACACTACACAGTGCTTTAAATTAACATAGCTGTGGATCTGGTTCAACAATGGAACAGTAATCCAGGAAAAGCTACCACGAATGAGAGAGGGAGACAGCTGCTTATGTAAGAGTTATTGTCTGTCATCCACAACAAATTAAACACACATTCCGCTGGTGATGATATATAGGAAAAAGAGCAATGTCCATCCAAACATCGACACACACACACACACATTCCAGTCTGTTTCTCTGCAGTTGACTCCTCTAGCTGTAATGCCCAGTAGAGACATGGGTAGCCCAGCCCACCAGCCACCAGGCAGCAGGCAGAGATTGCTAGACAGATAAACAAACAGCTCTCCCAGCCCTCCCAGTGGCTCACACAGATAATGCTGGAATTCAGCCTTGGGGAGGGGGTGGGGGGGGTGGTATCTAGACCTGAAGCCCTCTTCTGGCACCACAGAAACACACATGCAGGAGGCTCGGAGCAACTGGCCAAAATTAGCCCATGAGAAGTGGGACTGCTCCATTTGTAGTCATGAATGAAACCACAGTGAGGACCAGGGGCTTGTCCTGCTTCTGACCCCTGGAGTGCTCCTATCAACCCTGATAGGCTTCAAGAGGCACGAGATCTATATATGTATGGTATCTCGCCTCACTTGTCAAAGGCTGGTGTTGTGTGTGTTCGCTTGACAGACACAGTTTGTAATGGAAGTCTAATCATCTGTGCAATGTCAGAATTACAAATTGCTAAATTGTTGTAGGGGGAATATCAAAATGTACCTCATTTGAATGAATTGTTTATAAGAAACATAGTTTGTAGTTTAAAACTGTTAAACATATAAAAATGTTATTAAGTGGATTCAACCCTCAATACTAAATATTACAGGTACTTTTCATTCTACTCAAGGGTGAATCCTACCCTCAGGTGCTGAAGTGTTTATTTGAAATTGTAACCTACCTAAACCTTTACATTCCAAAATATAGAAATCTGACAACAAAATATTCTTAAACTATTTTGACTTAACTTGGCAGAGTCCACAATTAAACCAAAACAGCCTTTTCATCCATGTCACCTATCACTGAAAATCCAAAGTTGAACATTGAAATCAAATCTTTCAAAATGATGCTTCCTACCAAACACAAACACTTTCACATTCTCCACAAACAATATACCCTGTTGTAGAAGTGGAGTGGGACGTACCGCTGCTTTGTAGATGTCGTTCATGATGGAGGCTTGGCTTGGCCGCTACCCGTCTGTCCGTAGGGTGTAGTGGCACAGAGGAGGGAGGTAGAGCACAGCTAGGAGCAGGACACTGGCCCCATCCTGGGAGGGTTTTATAACTGGAGCCTGGCAGGGCCTGGTCCCTCCCTACCCTGCTTGCCTGTCCAGCCCCCTGGGTGTCTCACGTGCATCTGTGTGTGTGTGTGTGTGTGTGTGTGTGTGTGTGTGTGTGTGTGTGTGTGTGTGTGTGTGTGTGTCATTGGCCGATCTGTCACAATCACCAGGCTCAGATAAAAATGTAGCTGCTCTTATGGGGCACACTTTGGAATGGAATGAAGTGAAGGGGCACGCATGGCGAACCTTCATCTCTAGGGAGGGGGCTAGAGACACTCAACATTCCATCATCAGACGTGGGGAGAGGGGCATGGAGGGCAGACCAGAGCAAAAGGGGGCTTGGGACAGGAGGGGGCAGAGGGTGGGTAACTGAATAGAGGATGGGGGGTTTAGAAGGCTTGGGATAAGAGTCAGGGGACTGGGGACGGGAGTGGGAGGCAGGGCGATTCAGACCAAAGGGTTAAAGCCTGCCATTACCAAACACAATCACAGAGATGTGTGTTTGTGTGCTGTGGGTTGGGAGGGGAGGGGTGGGCTTGTGCGTGTGCGTGTGCGTGTGCATGTGTCTGTATCTGTGCATGTGTCTGTGCATGTGTCTGTGTCTGTCTGTCTGTGTTTCACGAAAACACATTTAACTGAGGGTTTTTCTTCTATTTTGAATGATCTTATCTTTCCAATTAAAATGTAATCTAACACCCTCCAAATTACAATTGTACAGTATAATGTAAATTTGCTGTAATGCACAAATTCACAGTATGTCCTACTCATTGACCAACAGAATTTTACAACATAGCATTGCAAGGGAAAAAATGTTGATTTTTTTATACAGTTTAACAATAGGTATTTATAGGTATACAATTAACATTACATTATACAGTGGATGTAGTAATATTGGGCCTTTGAGACTATATAAACTACATAACGTCAGTCAGCAGAGGGCGCTGTTTACTGTGTGTTGTTTTAATAGAGTTGATAGGCATCTAGGTGTGCTACAGAATATCCCATTTATCAACAGGGGGCTCAAGTCAGAAATCTGGATCAAATACAAGAACTCGAATTCGCCTAAAAACATGTGAAAACATTGAATTAAATAAACCTTACAATAGACTAAGGAAGACCACTCCTTTGTGTGTTGAATATCATGGGAACAGACAAGTGTGGATGTGGAATTAAATTGTAAGCCGCACCTCAGCTCACCCCTCTGGACACATCTGAACACAAATTACGTCATCAACCACAACACAGTCGACCATTTTGGCCACAAAATATCCAATACTTTCCTGCTTCTGTGCTACACTATATTCATTCTCCCCGCTACCCCACTGACTTGGATAGGAAAGGACAGTCATCCCAAAGGCAACATGCATGTGCCTCGTCAATCTCATCCATTTGTAGGAGAGAATAGCATACATACACCGTTTCTTTTAAAATCTTGCCATG